CATTGCTTTTGACTAGAAGTGAAGCTTTGATTGGGCTTTCCCGTGATGAATTTTCCTTACGCAGCAAACCGCCAAGCATGCTTGAGCCTTTCATTTATCTGTAACATATGGAAGGGAGCAGAAGGACCATAAGAAAAGTAGTTCAGTAGCACCTTTCTGTCTAACCTGGTTCCTCCACGTAAGGGTTGCTTCACAGAATCACAGAATGGCCAGGGTTGGAAGGGACCTCAAGGATCATGAATCTCCAACCCCCCTGCCACATGCAGGGCCACCAACTTCCACATTTAATACTAGACCAGGCTGCCCAGGGCCCCATCCAGTCTGACCTTGAACACCTCCAGGGATGAGGCATCCACAACCTTTCTGGGCAGGCTGTTCCAGCACCTCACCACTCTCTGTAAAGAATTTCCCCCTGACATCCAACCTAAATCTTCCCTCCCTCAACTTAAAACCATTTCCCCTCATCCTACAGTTACCTACCCTTTCAAAGAGTTGATTCCCCTCCTGTTTGTAGGCTCCCTTTAGGTACTGAAATGCTGCAATGAGGTCACCCCTCAGCCTTCTTTTCTCCAGGCTGAACAAGCCCAGCTCCCTCAGCCTGTCTTCATAGGGGAGGTGCTCCAGTCCCCTGATCATCTTCGTGGCCCTCCTCTGGACCCTCTCCAACAGCTCCCTGTCTTTTTTGTACTGGGGGCTCCACACTTGGACGCAGTATTCCAGATGGGGCCTCACAAGAGCAAAGTAGAGAGGCACAATCACCTCCCTGTCCCTGCTGGCCATCCCTCTTCTGATGGAGCCCAGGATACCTTTTGCTTTCCAAGCTACGTTTCAGAACTTGCTATGATAATAAGTAAAGGCAGGAAGAAATCCAGTCTTGTTGCTAGCAAACTTCCATTACTTGTCTCCTGGTGTACCTCTTTGAAGGCCGTTGCAGTGACTGAAGCAATTTTCACCACCTAGTGTAAGGTGAATTACATGTGGGAGTCCCGAAAGCTAATACAGCTTAATCCCAGCCTGTGGTATGTGTGTGTTCTTCCTGCCCCATCTCCTGGGAAATTCTCCTCCTGGTTGCTGCTATACATAGCTCATTAAGGAAAAGATGTAGTGTATTCTTGTCCCTTCCTAATTTTACTCTTAGAAACATATGACACAATAAATTGACACTTGCTTGCAGTGGATCCTGAGTATTTATATCGTAAGTGATGTCATACCTTGGATTTCCTTGCCAGGTAGTAGTACTGAAGTAGCAGGAGGGAACAAGCCTTACTTAATGCATGTCAAATTAGCCTTGCTGTGCAGTATCCTTAACATCCCTGGACAGCACAGCCCACTCGCTCTGTGCCACACCTCGCTGGCTGTGTGGCAGCTCTGAGAGCCCTGGCTCTGCTTGTCAGTTTTCCAGGACCTTTGGAAGATTACCATGAGACATTCAGTGAAGTTCTTTTAGTGAGTTTCCAAGTTTAAGTGATACTTTGACATGCTCTTTATGTTAGCTAGCAGTCTTTCTTCTAGAGGAAAACCAGCAGAAAGCAAGAAGAAGCTTGTCTGAAGATGCACAAAACTTTTGTTGGGTGTTTTTGAAGAGTATCTATATTCTTTATGCATAGCTAGCAAGGAATATGACAAATTTTCCTTCCCCTCTTCGGAAGGATGTTCTTGAGCAATAGCATTAAGCAGACTAGTTTTGGGGACCACGGCTTCTGTCCTGAGAATGATTTAGCTGTGCATGTTATGAATCAAGTGTAGACTGGACTTTATCTCGCCATTGCTAGCTATGGAGAAATGATGACCAGCTATTATAAGAGAGTTTCAATATATTTAATATTTTGGGGTTACATGTTACTGTGGCCAGTTTTGTCACTTTTCCATTCAGTCGTGAGGGCTAAGATGCTCCCACAATCCCCATTCCTGGGGAGCTTAAATGAAATCACAAGTCAGGCTAAAATCCAGCCTGGATTAAAAAGCTGAACAGTGCCTTCTGAAAGTATGTTATGGAATCATAGAGTCACAGAATCACTAAGATTGGAAAAGGCCTCTCAGATCGTCTAGTCCAACTGTCAACCCATTATGTCTACTCATGGAATCATTAAGGTTTGAGAAGACCTCTGAGATCCCCAAGCCCAACCTGCCCCCACTGTGCCCACTTGCCATGTCCCCAAGTGCCACGTTACCATGATTCTGGAACAATTCCAGGGACAGTGACCTCACTGCCTCCCTGGGCAGCCTGTTCCAATGCTTGACCAAAGACCCAGCAGCCTTTTTTGTCAATTCATCTGGCTTTACAGTTGGTTGGAAATCTGGTGTGTTTCAGTGTTTGCATGCTTCACGTGATGTGCTTGGGATGTTGTATCTTAAAGAAAAAAAAAAGAAGAAAAAAAAAAAGTGTTTTAATAGAAGAAGAAATCAACTCAGTCAATTTAAAGAACCAAAATGTGGACTTTCCTGGTTCTTTAACAATGTGCAGTATTGCCAGTGATGTAATCATTCTACCACAAACCTGCAGTGAGGTGCTCTGGAAGTGAACCCACTGTTTACATCTGGTATGCTGTCAGTATTTAAAGATAATCATTTGAAAGAATCTGTGAACTAACTCCAAATAATACTGCAAAACCTTGTGGAACTACAAAATGGGCAATGTGATTGCAGTCATATGCAGTGTGCCAAGGCTGTGACGAAATGTGAACATTGAAGGCGTAGCCCCGTCGGTAGAAAACCCTGGGGTTTTCTATTGATTTGACTGCTCTGTGCCTGCTATACACGTGGGACTTGCTGTGGTTGTGACCCTGGGTGCTACCATTGCTGGTCCTGCTGCCCTTTGCCAGCAGGAAACAACAGGTCTTTGGAGCTCGTAGAGGGGCAAGCAGAGCATGGTGCCAGCTGGAGTGTTGAAAAAGCCATTTGCAAAATGTCAGGGTACACAGCTAGTCATGGTTTTGAGATTATTGCTGACTTTTCAGAGCAGCATGATTAGTTACTGTGAAGGAAAGAAATGAGCATCTTTACTACAAGGATGATGTTCTAATGAGAGAAGGTGTACGCATAACATTTTGTACCAAAGCTTGATTCAGCCATGTATAAACTGTTATCACATGTATATGAAGTCTTATGGGTGCTTACTTCTATTATCCCTATCCGCATTATCTGTATCCATTTATTTGAAGCTTTCCTATAACCATTTTGAAAAAAAAAAAAAAAAAATTACTCCTTTAAGACTAATTTGCTTAAGGTAGGCTTGGAGGCAGAACAAATTTGCATATCATCCTACCACCATGTCCTAAATAAAGGTCTCTTCCGACTTTTCTTATTTTTTTGCAAGGTTTCACAGAGAAAGGATTGTTAGGAACTTATTCTCGTAACGTTTAGAGACGCAACAACCCCAGGCAATGCTACAGGTTTGGGACAGAGTAGTTGGAAGTCTGTGTAGAAGAATTGGACCTGGAGGTGTTGTCTGCACTCAGCTGAACGTGAGCTTGCAGTGTGCCCAGGTGTCCAAGAAGGCCAGTGATGTCCTGGCTTATAACAGAAATAGTGTAGTCAGCAGGAGCAGGGAGGTGATCTTCTCTCTGTACTCAGCCCTGATGAGGCTGCACCTTGAGTGCTGTGTTCAGTTTTGGGCCCCTCACCACAAGAAACACATCAAGGCCCTGGAGTGTGTCCAGAGAAGGGCAATGAAGATGTGAGGCGTCTGGAGCACGAGGCTTATGTGGAGTGGCTGAAGGAGCTGGGATTGTTCAGTCTGGAGAAGAGGCTCAGGGGAGACCTTATTGCTTTCTACAACTTCCTGAAAGGAGGCTGTGGTGAGGTCAAGGTTGTCCTTTTCTCCTGTGTGACAGCAATAGAACAAGAGAAAATGGCCTCAAGCTGCACCAGAGGAGATTCAGGTTGGATGTTAGGAAAAGCTTATTCTCTGAAAGAGTGGTCAGGCATTAGAACAGGTTGCCCAGGGAGGTGGTGGAGTTACTGTCCCTGGAGGTGTTCAAGAAATATTTTGTTGTTGTACTGAGGGACGTGGTTTAGTGGGAAATGTTGGTAGTAAGTAGGTGGTTGGACTGGATGATCTTGGAGGTCTTTTCCAATCTTGGTGATTCTATAATTCTAGAATAAAAACACGAAGACACTTCATGTTTCCAACACTAATATCATAATACTATTAACCTTTCCTTTTTCCTTCAGGTTCCATACGTTCTCAGCTCCCCAATCTAGAAAATGCGTACCTTGCATCTTCGTTGAAATTAAGACAGTTGTACAGGTAGGATTACCATATGATTACTCTTTTGCCCATGGTTTTCTGATGGTGGATTAGGTTGTCATTTCTTTTCTCTGCTCCTTAGCAGTGTGTAGACTGAGATGAGAAACCAAGAGTAGAGTTATATTCTACTTAGTATTAATAAATAAAGCTGTCAGATGTCAGCATAATGAAATGTGGTGTAAGCATGCTTAATTCAAATTGTATGCTGCTTTATTGTCTTATAAAGACAGCGTATTTTTTTTTTTTCTTTTGGAGTCAGGAATGATTACATTTTCATATGTTCTTTCATTATATATGATGGATTACGTTTTGAAAACATAGGGAAGTGTGTTACCAATACAGCCAGCAGTGAAGAAAGATTGGCCACAAGAACAGTTACACGATAAATTATATAACATACTTAAGAATAAGGTAAAATGCTTTAGAGCTACTAATTATGCCTCAAAACTTGGAAATGTCTACATCCATTTATATAAGGAGCACAGAACATCTTTATTGCACTCATAATGTGTTGTTTGGTGGACTGAACTTGGCTTTAGCGAATGAATCTGTTCCAAAAGCAGAAGTGTAGTCTCATATATGAAATGTAGGGTGCTGTTTCATAGTCAGTATGCCATGAATGCTTTCTGAAGAAGTGTAATTGACATTGCTAATTATAGGTAAGAGTGGGATATTTAGATTTCACGTATTGCATGTGGCCAGATGAGAAGCTTGAACTGGCTAATGGAGAGGGTTTTTTTTTGTTGTTTGTTTTTTTTTTTTTTTGTAAGAAAAAGAAGTTGCAAATTCAGATGATAGAAAGCCTTGCTTTTTCATCACAGTCTGGAAAGAGTTGCAGAAGAAAACTGATCTCAAGAAACAGTATTAAATTTCTCTTCAGAGGCTTAATAGGTTCAGCAATGAAGGTTTTCAGATACAGTAATAGAGGTTTTCAATGAAGTAGCTGTTCACAAGTGGTTAATTATCTCATTGTGATCTGGGTCACTGGGGAAGCTGCAAACAGCTCACTTCTGTGTTCTAATGGCAAGTGGGATGTGTGTACAGAGGGGGAACGCTGAAGCTGTATTGTCTGGAGACCAGCAGTGCTGGAGAAGTGTCCACAGCCAGCTTCTGAGCGAGCAGCTTACCCTCTTTTTCAGGTGTGTTGAGGATCAAGGCTAGCAAGAGTGTGCAGTATGGCTCTGTAGGTTGCATTGAAACTTTTCTCTGCTCCCTGTGTGCTCCCACTCCATCCTTACTGTCCTAGCAGCCTGAGACATGCATGAACAGCGGCCCTTTGTCAGCAGCTCTGCTGGGCTCCCTGCCCTGCCTTCCCTGCTGTTCTCGCCATCTGCAGACATGTGGACTCTGAAAAGAGTCACTTGCTGTCTTGCATCCCAGGCTGTCTGAACCAGCAACTCCCAATCGCCTCCAGTATGTGTGTATGTAACCTGCACTTTTGGCAAGTTAGTTTCAGTTCTAGGGATTGCTTTCTAACGGGGAAAGGAATGCCCAGTTTGCATTACAGTGCTCTCACGTTTCTTTTCCAAATATCTCAATCTATTAAAGAACATTATAATTTGATGTTAGAATTTCCTTGTATTGGAAAGACACAGGGCTACAACCCAGCACGGGCACTGTGCACACCTCTGGTTTGAAGTTTGTTACGTGTTTGAAATACCATATGAACTGGAATCTGGACCACCTTCAGCTGCCATGACCGTCTTAGGGCAGATATCAAAATGACAAACCAACCACAGGGTATAAAACTGTGAATAGCATGCTTGGGGGGAAGTGTGGAGTGGTGTGCTGGGTGCTCGTCTGCCTCTGCAAGCTGGGAGCGGTGGGGTGCTTCTAAGGAAAGGCTCTCCAGTGCTAGGATACCTTGTTGCTCAACAATGAGACTAAGAGTAGTGTGCAGCAGCTGAACAGTCAGTCATCAGGAAAAGCAGTTTTGGGAAGCAGTGTAGGAAAGATTTGTGGTGGCCTTTGTGTGGAGCTGTGGCTACAACAGGCAAGCATGGAAGGTGGGCGCTGTTGGAAGTTCCTTCTGTTCGTGTCTGCTGAAAGAGAACCGCGTCTGATCGGTGCTGTGTGTGCTGCTGCCCAGAGCAGAGGAGCAGTGGTGGCTGGGAATGGCTGATTTCAGAACTGGAGGATCGTGGCTTCCTTGGCAGCTACATCTGGAAGCTTCTTCACCATGACGGGAGGAAGTGGCAAGACAAATACTGGAGAGAACAGGTGGCAATGGGGTAGTTGATAATGAAGAGAAAAGTAGGAAACTGCATTACACCAATGCAGTAATCAGCTTTTTTTTTTTTTTTCAATGAAGCTATGAAAATTGTTTTCTAAAATTTGTATTGTATTCAATATGAGTTATTCCTGATTTCCTGACACATGTATTTATTACTTAAGAAAGATTATTTGGCTTCATTCTCATTAAGGCTTTTCACTGAACTTGTTTATAATGATAAATGCAGAGTGTTAAATACCTTCATTTCAACAGCAAAAAAAGTGGGAATGAGAACAGAACCGTGTTAAAATCCATGCAGGAACTTTTCAAATAGGAAGAACCTGCAGCTGGTGTGACTGGGGAGGGAGAGTTCATGTATTTCAGGTGCAGAGGGATATAGTAACAGTTAACTAACTGGAAAAATACACAGGAAACATAATAACCAATGACAGTAGCATTGGTGGTCTCAGCCCACTGCCTCTTTACTGGAGGCTATCAAATAAAGGCAAAGGTTGGCAGTAAAAGACTTTTTGTTACTGTAGGAAGATACTGAGATACTGTTTCATTTAATACTATTTTCCTTCGCTATGAACAGGGCGGACAACATCTGTAACACAATGTTTAATTCTGTAACTTTGTTGTGTAGGTGGCCATGTGTAATGGATGATGGCAGCTGAATAAATGCTGCTTCATTAATGTTGGATTTTACACTTTACTCCTCGGACTTAGAGCTTTATCACAGTAGTAATGAGTTCTGGCTAGTGGTTTTGGCTTCCAGTGGATGATGGCAATTAAACTTGAAAGGAAACGAGAGGGATTCTGGTCACTGATCTCAATTGTTGCTGCTGACTTACTTCAGAGAATTAAATGCCCCATCTTAATTAATCACTTATTTTGTCTTTTCTAATGTTGTCATCTGGCTTGGATATAGCATTAATATTTAAAATGTATGTATCAGTTCAATAAACACGTGCATTACTTGTCAAAACACTGCAGCTTGTTAAAATAAGCCCACTGCCATTGCAGTTAAACATCCTTGGAGTGACATGTGGTGGCAGCAGGCACACTGCGTGTCTGTGCTGGCTGCTCAGCTGGGATGCTGGTGCTTCTTTGGGAGAGAAAGCCTCTTCCTTTTGTGAATGGAGGATCTTCAGATTCCTGTAAGGAGAACATTGCGTGCCCATTAAGATGGTCTTACACCAGTATAAAACCAGCAAGTTTAATGCTGTACTCTAGCAATGGGGAAGTGTTTGGTTAGGAATCTGGATCTTCTGTGGCTGCTCACTAAGTTTCCGGTATGTTGGAGTAGCTACACAAGAAATCTCAATGACCACATTTGTCCTGCACGGTGAAGATCTAAATAGAAAGTGAAGTTTCCCTCTGTTGTCCAGAAAATCAAATCTCATCTTGCATTTTGGTAATTATAGCCAAGTATTTGTTTGGCTGCAATCTGTGCAGTTCCTCTACGTTGGGATGACAGTGAGAGTGTGCTCAGTGTCTGTGCAGGACGTGGTCAGAGCAGCAGCAGTCTGTACTGAGGGTTTGGCATGCCTCCTGTGCCCCTGCCCAGGCTGCAAGGCAGGTGTCCTCCCTGAGGCCACGTGTCTCTGTCCCCTTTCTTGCTGCCAGCTGCTTTTGATTCACTGGTTGGTGAAATGCAAATCTCTTCTCTTTAGGGGGGGATTGAGAGGACAATAAGCAAAGGGCTACTACTTTCCTTATGTGCACAGTTAGCATTGGCCTTACGACCCATATGCTCTTACATATTATGTGATTTTAAAGCATATGTTAACCCTTGTTCTCAGCTGGTTTTGATTCTGCCTTAACAAATCTTAATGTCTCACTGCTCTTGCTGCCTTGCATCTTCTTCTGGCTAATGGAAATTGTTCTCTTCCTTTTCATCTCTTTTCATAGAATCATAGAATGGTCTGAGTTGAAAAGGACCACAATGATCATCTAGTTTCAACCCCCCTGCTATGTGCAGGATTGCCAGCCACTAGACCAGGCTGCCCAGAGCCACATCCAGCCTGGCCTTGAATGCCTCCAGGGATGGGGCATCCACAACTTCTCTAGGCAGCAGTGCCAGGGCCTCACCAGCTCTGATTTAAAAAAATAAATAAAAATAGTTTGTCCTGTTCTACAAATCTCATCTTGAGCAACATGAGATGTTATGTCCCTATTTGAATGCTTAATTGGGGAGATAAGTATTTAGAACAATTGGCAGCTTTGCTTTCCCAGAGGAGAAGTGGGAATGTGTCATGGCCAGAGTGAAAGCCTCATGTGTGATTGCTTCTTACCATGATGTTGTATTGCTTTTTTTAATCCATCTTACTTTTCTTTGTTGGGTATAGGCTGTAACAGAGAAGCTAATCCAAAATTCAGTGTTTCAAGCATTGCAGAGAAACTTATGTGGTTAGAAACTAGAAGTTTCAAATACATGGAAGCTACACACTTCCTTTTATTTGTAATTAGGTTTTTTCCATGAAATTTGAAAGCTTTTATGTATAATCTTCCTCTTGCATGCACATTTGCTATGCATAGAAGTTATTTTATAGTGTATCTATTCAAGTTCAAGATAGCCCTTGCTGTAGTGAGCGTGTTTGTGTGTGTGTCTGTCCCTTTTGACCTTGAATTTCAGGTAATTGTTACAGCAGTCCTCTCTTACTGCTGAGCCTTCCCTGCCTCCTTTGATACTGAAACCTTTCCTAGGTCAAGGAAAAAAAGGAAGAATGGTGGGGCAAAGAAAGGAGAATGTCAGGTGTTCACCTTTCCTTTGATGAAATCTGCATATTTCAGGAAAAAAATGTTGTGAGTTCCTCTTGAGAGGGAACAGAGTAGTAGTACAGTACCCTTGGAAGAAGTAAAGCATAAGGGAAAACAATTACTCTACGGTAGGTCCTACAGGAATCTTGTAACTAAAAGGAAGATAATAAAGACTTCACATAAAAGCCTCTTTCCTGAGGAGTCAAGGGATCAGCTACTCTGGTCTCCAAGTATGAAACTGATTTCAGCCCAAGCATTTGAGTTTGGGTTATGAGTTGAAGTTGTGATATGACTGTCTAGGTTGGTGGTTCCCAGACTGTAGGCTGTCTTGTCGTGAGGCATATTGTTCTGTATTTCCTCTTCTTTGTTAGTCAGTACTGAAGAGTGAGCAGTATGATCAGACTCACTTGGGCTTCTCCTTAGAACAGTCCTGACTTGGTGCTGAGACCATACCTGCAAGTAGCTCAACCAGGCTGTATTCTGGGAGAGAGACTTCTTTTGCCATTGCTTGTTAAATTAGTGAACCTCCGTTAAGTCACATTTTGTCATGGGAGTCTAGCTTATGACTTGGCATGTGATTGTACCAGCTGCCAGAATGACCTGTGTAAGTCTGTGAACTTGGTATTAAATATAAACCAAGAAGGGGAAAATAAACTTGCTATTAAAACAGCAAATTTGTGTGACTGTCAGACGGATACTTGGCATAAACAGCTGCAACTGAGGTCCAGAATTTGCATACAGGAATGAGTCTATTCACATTTCAAAGCTGATATATCAAAAAGTATTGTTCCCAGATAACACACTAAAAAAACCCTTTGCTGCTTTGGACACAGGTTTGCTGTCATTGCAGTGGCACAGCAGAATTATACAGAATTATACAAAATATACTGGCTGCTGGAGCCTGGCCAGGAGTCCGTATAGGATACTAGCAGGCATGTCTGATGGCAAATTCTGTCAATTTAACGTGGGTGAAGCCTGGAAGAAACAGAAGAGGTTTAAGTTAGTGCTCTTTGAGGTAGGTGTAGTTCTTACTACTTGAATGCTTTTGAGTGCTTTTTTTATGGACAACTTTTTATTTGCTTTAAAATGCTTACAGTGTTTCTATTCTTAATACATATTTTGGGGTAAAGACCTTTTGTGTTACAAAACATTCTTTCTAACTCTATTCCAGTTTAAGTTTGTGCAAGGGTGAACTGTGTTTCAGTCAGTCTGTGTGCTTGCAGTTTTGCAATACTCAGAATGAAAGCTGTCTCGAGTAGATTTTATCCTACGTTTTAGACCAGACTTCTGGGTCAGACTGAATGTCAATTTTTAAATGCCAGAACTACAAAAGTACCATTTATATGGAATTTGTTACCTAATCCTTCAGCAAAATAATCAAAGCAATCTCTGAACTTAGTTCTGAAATTTGTGTTTTATCCCAGGGTATGCCTTTCTGTTTGTGGTAGGAAGCAATGCAGCTGAAGTCAAGGCCAGGAATCCCACTTGCTGATACTAGAGAGATCAGCTCCTGGATTAAGGGGAGACTGTTATGTAGGCCAAGAAGCACAGGTCTGTTACTTTCAAAAGAAAAATGACCAGAGGCTGAGGGTGGAGCTGCATTAAGGATTTGAAGGTGGTCATTTGAGCTTTGCATCTGTTACGAACGTCCAGTTTACTGAGATTAGTTGTGTAGGTCAAGTAAAAATATGTCCTCTTATGCTGAGCAGAGCCAATGGGAAGTCCTTGCAAGTATCTTCTTTCAGAATACTTTTTTTAAACTTGTCTGAATTATACAGTCATATGTCTGGAATATACTATAAATCAGATCTGCAGGCGCTTACAGTGAATGTAAGTTTGTGCTATTCTGATGGCAAGTCTAAAAAAGCATTGGTATTCTGGTATAAGCAGATGTACTAAAATGGTAGAGGAAAATGTTGTGATGTGATATAACTAACTGAGAATGGACTGAAATTTTCTCTTGCAACCACCTTGCTCTGAGTTTCACCAAGAGAATAAAGCCCAGAAGAGACAACTTATGTAAACTTCTCT